TGCTCCTGACCACACAGCCTCACAGTGACTCCTTGTCAGGGATGCAGGTTGGTTGGTGGTAGCCAGAGAGTGTGCACAGGACTCAGGGACTCCCTTGCTCAGCTTACGGACAGACAGAATGGAGACTCTGGCTCCTTCTTCAGTCACTTAACCACAGCATCTTCCAGCCTTCACTGAAGGCCTCAAGTAAGAGCATTTTGGTTTTTCTTCCAGGGCTGGAAGATGAAGCTCAAGAACAGGCAGGAGTGTAAGCAGGCAAAAACAACAGTGATGGGGTTTTGAGACACTCAAGTTTCCACTCCATTTCCATGTATCCAACAGCCACTTCTTCTCCTGCAAGGACAGCTTCTTGGTAGCAGGTACAATCCATGCAGGTTGGAGCAGAGTCTGGCAAGTTGCATTATGGTTTCCATCTCAGTCATGCACTGGCATAAATATGCAACTGAGGCAGAAAGTTCAGAGCTGCCTTTGTGGCAACACCCGCTGTTCACAGGAACAAGCCCTCTGAGGGGCTGCTCCAAAGGATTTTTAATCCATGCAGAGACTTTGTTCAAGCTTAATTGGCTCAATAATAATATCTCAGCAGAGGAGGGATGCTGAGATTTTTGAGGAGAGCTGAAGAGGCTGATGTGCTTTTGTGTGTGTGTGTGTGTGACAGTCACAGAGGCACCTTAACTGAAAGGACTTTTAGGGGTAAATGCAATGTGTACCTCTGGTTGCCCACACAGGGGTTACATGTAGCTGTGGGTTCAGAGCACTACAACGAGTGCAGAGCATCACTCAGGAGTTAAGCTTCGTGGTTCCCCCACTGTATTTCAATAACCACTAAGGTAAGAACTGTGCTACTTCTAGGGATAAAAGGGTGCCAAAATCTGTGGCTGGAAAGTTGAGGGTTCTAGTAAAGGAAACCTGGCCTCCAGGTACACTTCTGCTAGCAAAACTTCAGCAGGTTCCTGAGGAACAGCAAGCAGTGTCACCAAAGGAAAAACACAAGCACTGAAACAGATAAATCTTTTTAGTCTGGGCATTGAAGACAGTTGTGCTCAACTCTCCTTCCAACAGACACGCAGCTGCTAAGGATCACCAAGAACCTCCTCTCTCATATTGCACTTCAGAGTAAAACCACTGTGAGAGAGAAGAAATGTAACCTGCTATGAGACACCAGGGATGTCTTTGGAGAAGCTGAGTCCACACCCAGCTCAGGTAAATGCTCAACTCCACAAAAACCAGGCTGCTAAATTAGACTTGAGACTAACTGCTGTGTCTGTAGGAAAGGAAAGTACCAGCACTGCCTGGCCAGTATCCCATCCCTAAGTACTGGAGCTGAGTCCTTCAACATACACCTCAAGTCTGCACCTCCTAAAGAGTCTCAGAAGAGCAGTTCTTGGTAAATAGGTACTTATTTACCCTTAGACTTAAGATAAAGCAATAAAACATTATTCATCCTTTTCTCCTGCACCAGAACTTCACCTCCCCCCCCCCATCCCTCCCCTCCAAGCCCCAACCCCAACCTGGGCAGTTACAGCTGCAACCAAGGTGCTAGCTCTGCAATAGCTTATTCTTCTAGAGGAAGGCAAATCAACCTGTAACATCCTGGTATCTCATGCCTGCCAACTACTACAGTCCAAAAGAATCAAGACACTTCAAAAATGGTGGTTGTAAACACCGTGGTTATGCCCAAACAAGAAGTCACAAAGATTGTTATACTGAAAGTTAACCTGCAGATCTGGTTTTGATCATAAACTGCTGCCCTGACAACAATTTTCAGGTAATAATTGCAGCTGCATCCAGATCTTGGTGGGGTTTTGGTTGGGATATTCAATTTCACGGCTGGAACTTCAAACTCTCCTCACTTTTTAATTTTTGTCAATGCAAATGTCGTGCTCTTCAGTGCAGCCAGAGCTGAACAATTAATCAGGGAAACGGCTTTTAGGAAAACCTGGGAGCAATCAGGGCTAGAGGGAATTCACATTATTCAGAAGTGCCACAGAGGGCCACAACACACCCTGCTGAGCCTGAGATGCTCAAAACAGAAAGGAACTACCCCAAAAAAGGCAAGAAACTACCTGGCAGTTACTCCTTTCTCTGATTCTAAGAAGTAAAGCTGCTGATCTTAGCATGATTAAAGTGCATCACCAGCAATTTAACAGACCTTTAGTTACCAGAGCAATAAGGAAGCTTTTCCATGAGGATTGATTCCCATGGCCTTACAGGTAGTGCAGCAAAACACGAGACAGCCTCTGATTTTTTTAAAACACAACAGTAAACAACAGCCAACAATAACACACTAACTGACACCAGACACTGAAGTAACACAATACTGTGTAACACACACAGTGGAACTGACTTTTGGCAGTGATTTAGCACCTACTCTTGTTATTTCTGCAGAGAAACAACAACTTGGGTGTGGCAGCTTGCTGGGACCTTCCACTGCCTGCCTGACCTTCTAGGGCTGGACCAGCACAGGGAATGTGAAAAACAAAAGAGAAAGAGCCTAGAGAAGCACCAAGGTATGAGCACAAGCTCTTTTTTTTTATCCTGTATTTCCCAGATCAGAGAAGGGATTATAGGGAAAGTGACAAAACGGGCTTTATCCTACACCCTGTACTGAATCCCAGTGTCTGTACCCCTGAAAGGGGAAGGGTACCTGATGCAGGTCCCCTCAAATCCTAGAGCCCAGGAAGGCAGAGGAAGATTAGGGTATGGTCTCAGAAAAAAGTGAAATGTTTTTAAACTGCAAGTTCTGGTTGAGTTTTAACAGCCACTACAGCAACCATGCACAGCTCTGAGGGACAAGGGAAATGCTGCACACAGATTTCAGGTCTTAAAAATCACAGGGAAAGAAAAATCAGAGGAGAAAGTTAAAAAAACTAACACCAAGCACAGCTCACAGACTCAGCAGCTGCATCTGGTGCTTTATGGGAATTCTTCTCCCTTTAAAAGTCCATATACTCTCTTTAAAGCCACTAAGCACTTTAAAGTAAGCATCTTCTATCTGGACTGGCCTGAGCTAACAATGGGCAGGCTTCACCAAAGCTATGCAAGATGACATAGAACTGTATTTAAATGAAAAAAAGTATTGATAAAAATGAAAATATCCAGTAAAAAAACCAAAATATAACATGGATCCATTATTTTGCTCTCTGATAGGGAACCTGAGATGGCTACAGATTAAAAGTTTGTGTGGACTTCTTTAAAGTTTGGGAGTAATAGGACCTTGACCTTATCTAAAAAAACTATGTTAAAAAAAAAAAATATCCTGAAATCAGGTTATTTGCTTCTCATTGCCTTCATGAGAACTGATCCCTGGAGAAATGGCTTCTCTAAATTGCAAACACATTGGTTTGCCCTTCCCTCCCACCCCCTTTCCCACCCCTGCCCACCCCTCCACATACATATATATATATTTATCTCTCAGATGCAGACCCCTCCTTAGAAGGCATTGCACAGGGTTTGACTTACAGGAGAACAACACTCCCAACAGCCAAAATTATAATTATCTCCAAAAACTGTTTTCTGCAAGGACCAGTTGTCAGCACAGAGAATCCCAGTGACAGCACTGAGCTGGAATCAGAAGGTTTAGACTACTCCAAAGTAGGGGATTAATACCAACATGTCAGTCACTCCCTGCTCCCTATGGGGTTTAATTTCAAAGGTCATGAAAAGGTGGGTTCTGCTTCATTTAACGCAGAGAATCTCTGTGTTCTTAGTCAGATTTGCATCTTAATTCTCTTTGGTATTCACTGGCTGAGCTCAGAAGTTAGGGTCTGTGTGAGTGCAAGAATGCCTGTGTGCTGTCTTCTGGAGGAGAAGGCCTGAACAGGCACAACTACCCCATAAAGATCCTGATCACCAGCTCAATCTCTTTCCTGCACACTGGGCAAGGAGATCTCTTCTTCTTCAGCATCTTGGCACACCTGAAACAGGCCACAAGGTGAGCAGTCCTTCCATGGACAATATTCCCATCCCGTGGTCTGTGATGGCATAAGAAGCAAGGATTCAGTAATTTCTTTATACTCTCTAAAGACTGTATCTCTTCCTCCTTTTTATGCTCAGAGAAGTGCAGCAGAGCCTCTTTGCTTTCACATTCCCCTGCCAAATCCAAAGACTCCAGAGAGCTCCGGGCATCCACACGTGATTTGTTTTCTACCATGTACAGGTCTTTGGGTTGGCCAACTGGAGCAGAAATAGTCCTTCGGCAGTCAGGGACATCTATCCCTTCATCATCATCATCTTTTTTCTTTTGCATGACATCAATGTTGGACAGAGAAAGAGAATGAGGCAGTTTGGGGCAATCCGAGTACCAATCCTTCCGCAGGGCCCAGCAGCGGTAACAGTAGCGTTTGCCTGGAGAGTTAAATTTCTTGCACTTGGAGCATTGCCAGGAGTCCTGAGGAATGATTGAGGCAGACAAAAACAAGCAAAGCAGCAAGTTAGGGTCTAGCCCTACCTACAACTTGTCTCCTCTGCACAGGAAGAGCTGCAAAGAAGCTTCATACAAAAAAAAAAAGGATGTTTCTTACAGGGTATAAACTTGCGAATGTACAATGGGTGGTTTGACTCTCAGCCTAGAGAGACTCTGACTGGAACATCTGTCTAAGGAGGAAAGGCTGAGAGGCCTGGAGATGTTTAGTCTTGAAAAGAGAAGACTGAGAAGGGATCTTATTCATGTCTATAAATATCTGCAGGATGGGTGTCAATGGGGCAGACTCTGTTCAGTGGTGCCTGTGACAGGACGAGGGGAAACGGCACCAAGTGACAACACAGGAAGATCTGCCTCAACATGAGGAGAAACTCCTTTCCTGTCAGGGTGACAGAGCCCTGGGACAGGCTGCCCAGAGAGGTTGTGGAATCTCCTTCTCTGGAGACTTTCAAGACCCATCTTGACATGTTCCTGTGTGATCTGTCCTGTGATCTGTTCCTGCTGCAGCAGGGGGTTGGACATGATGATCTCCAGAGGTCCCTTCCAACCCCTGTGATTGTATGATCTCTTAAGCATTAAAATCTGTCCTCCCTTCCTCAGCCTTCAGCACTCTGGAAGAACAGAATGTTCTCAAGCTGTGCAGCTTATTGGATTTTCAGTATCTTACTCTAAACTCAAGGGTGGAGGCTTCTGGAGTCAGTCAGGAATCTATTTCCCAGACTCACTCATCACTTGGCATCTGTTGAATCTGCAAAACTAATACTGGTTTATTTGATAACCACACATAAAGAGAGCAAGAGCTGCCCCAGTTCAGAGCTGATTCAGCTGCCCAGTGCCAGGGACACACCAATCTGTCCAGCATCCACAGTTTAAAAATAATGCTAAAAAATGGTGCAAAAAGTATAATTTGCTGACTTAGAACAAAACCTCCAAAGAGAGCCCTGACCAGCCCAAGCCAACTCTATGTTCCTTCCTGTACATTACAAAAGAAAAAAGGGGGGTTTTGCCTATTTTTTGCTTTTCTTGGCCTTTGAAATCCATAAAGAATCAGACCAGTAGCAGCTGTTGGCTTTTCTCAGCTAGGATGCACTCCCAGCAAGGCAGGCTGGCCTGCAGGATGCCTACCTTTGGAGTAGCTTCTGTATCTGTGTCATCACTTAAGCATTGAGAGTCTTCACAGTCCTGCAAACATGCATCCTCAGTCACCTGGAAAGAG